GAGACAGTGCGATTGGCACAGGACAGAGCAGAGTTTAGGGCTGTTGTACATAGGGTCGCTATGAGTCGCAGACGACTCGACGGCACATAACAACAACAACAACCACAAATTGAGATGGTTAGGAATGAACCTAAGTAGAGATACAAAGGACCTAACAAAGAAAACTACAGAACATTTCTGAAAGACCTAAAAAATACAAGACCTAAAGAAATGGAATTATGTGCACTGCTCATGGATAGAAGAACTCAATATTGTCAAAATGACAATCCTACCAAAAGTAATCTACATGTTCAATGCCATCTCAATACAGGTACCAAATTCATATTTTAAGGAAATCTACAAGAAATTTTCAAATTTATTTGAAGAGACTCTGAAGAAGCAAAGCACTACTGAGAAACAAAAATGGAGTTGGAGGCATAGCATGGTATTGGTACAATGGCAGTCATATAAGCCAATGGAACAGAATTGAGAACCCAGAAAGAGACCCAGTAATCTACGGTCAACTGATATTTAACAAGGAAATAAATGTATCAAGTGGGGAAATGACAACCTCTTCAAAAAATGGTGCTGGCAAAACTGGACTGTTATCTGCAGAAACTGAAACAGAATCCACATCTCACGCAGTACACAAAAATGAACTCAAGATGGATCAGAGACCTGGAACTACAGACAAAAACCACAAAGTTCATCAGAGACAAACTGGGATCAAGCTTAGACAGCCTAGTCTATGGTTTAAAGAGACTATCAAATACAGCCAGAAATGCACAATCTGGAGGATAAAAATGATTTTCTAAAGATTAAATCCCCATGTGAATCAAAAATTTTTTCCAATAGAATGAAAAGAAAACCTACTCACTGGGAAAAAACATTTGGCAATACCATTTCAGACAAAGGTCTCATATCAAAAGTGTACAGAATCTTACAGGGCTTCCACAGGAAAATGACTAATAACACAATTAAATGGGCAAAAGACATGCAAAGAATTTTCACAGAAGAAGATTTTTTTTTCTTATGCGCGTACCATCAAATTGGATCTGACTGGTACAGGAGGCGACTGTTCCTCCTTCTTTAGCAGAGCATCTGGTGGATTTGAACCGTGCACTTCTGGGATTGCCAGTGCAGTTTCCAGCCACTAGGCCACCAGAGCTCGCCTGAGGAACATATATGAATGGCCAACAAACACATGAAGAAATACTCAAAATCACTGGCAATAAGAAAGATGCAAATCAAAACCACAATGTGATGCCATCTCTCTCTAGAAATAGTGGTAAAGTTCAACAGGATAGCAAGGAAAAAATTTTGGAGAGGATATCAAAAGATAGGAACTCTTATACATTGCTGGTGGGATTGTAAAATGGTACAACCACTCTGCAAGGCAGATTGGCATTTGCTCAAAAAGCTGAACATATAAATTCCATATGACCCAGCTATTCCACAGCTTTGAAGACAAACCAAGAGAATGAGAATTGAGGCACAGAGACTTGTACACCAATATTCATAACAGCATTATTCACCATCGCAAGAACATGGAAACAGCTCAAAATGTCCAACCACAATCTAATGGTTTGAGAAATTATGGTACATTCACATGATGGAATACTATGCAATTACTACCTAACTTGGGAGGGCCTGGAGAGCATTATGCTAAATGAACTTATTCAGTCCCATAAGGACAAATACTATATAAGACTATTATTGTAGAACAAGTATGAAGATCCAAGGAGCGGGGGGAAGGGGAAGAGCAGGGGAGTAAGAATGGGCGGAGCAGCAAGGGTGGTTAATCAAAGGGTCCCACAATTTAGTGGGTGGGGAGGTGAAGGAAAGGGGAAAGATGTGGTGTGAAAAACAATATACAAGTCCAGGCTGGGTTTAGAAGGGGTCGTGGTACTAGGGACATTGTAGCTAATGTTAGATGGATCTTGGCTGAAAGCAGGGAATACCAGAGGAATGTCTATCTGTGTTTCACTGACTATGCAAAGGCATTTGACTGTG